ATAGTCCAGCACTATCAACGTACAAATCACACAGGAATCTGTGAGAAATCAATGATAGAGGAAAAAAGTTTTCTTGCAAATTTTGGGACTTTGTTTTTACATTTCAATGTTTCAAACCAGTATGTAAAACACAATAGCCCACTAAACCTAAAACCACATTCCTATTGGTTGCAGTATTAGACCTAAAGCGTTTGCCATACCTGCTAATCATTCTTTTTTATGACAGAAAGCAAAAGAATTCTAAAAAATCCAAGCAGCCCCAGATGATAACACTGACAGATAACAGTGACTTTGTTCTTTATCTGTTTGTGAATTTCCATATATCACAGCATGATATGTTGCTGTTTTATAGTTTGATAGGAATTAGCTCTAAATTTCGGTCCTCCAGGCCAGTAGGTGGTGCACTCACCCACTCCTATTCTGTAATGTTTGTCAGCCATTTGCCGGTTGCTAATTGCTTAGGCTAGTCAAGCACGATCAGCTCTTTTGTGCAACCAGGAAAACACCCAGACTGCTCTATGAAAACGATTGAATTTACTTAATTCTATAAATAATTATGAAGAGTGTAATAAACTACACTGGGTAAAAGGTTAATATTAATCTTGTTAGGAGAATAAAGGCATTCACATCCTATGCAAGTCAGGCCTACCGGTAGTCTGTGACATGGCGTCTAACATTTACCCTCTTTTTTTAAAACAACTAGGCTAGTTTCTCTGATCGAATTGAATTTCCTAAAAAATATTTAGATAAATTGTTTTGCTGTATGAATATCTACGTTAATTTGTATTCAGCTGTTTCTGCTTCACTTCAGCTCTCGCATCAGTTCAGCTTATAGTTTTTGACGCTGTATTTTTTATAGTTTAGCGTCCGTTTACTAACAACAGTCTAAATTCACCTTAAGGCCAGTTTCTCCTGCAGGTCCTGGTTCACCCCTCTCTCCTGGAAGTCCCTGCAAAGAAGGAAGAGAGAAAATACTGTATGATCAAAGACTTTTTTTTTGCTTGTTTGTTTGTTTTGTGAAGAACCTGTATAATATAGTTCTTAAATTGATTTGTATCTAAGAATCCTACAATGAAATACATAATTTTACTTTATCCCTAATTTCAGTTTCATAAGAAGTAACAGTGTTTAAAACAAAAAGCGGAAAGAGATTCCTGTAAAACATTTTCTTGCCTGCTACAGTCTCACCTGTGGTCCGGTTGGTCCAGGTTTTCCTTGCAGTCCGGGTTCCCCTTGATCTCCCTGGGCATAAAATAAAACAAACTATTGTCAAACCTGTATGCAGATAATAAATAAGTACAGATAAAAATGCATACTTAAGTACTTGCCTTGTCTCCTTTAACACCAGACTCCCCTCTTAGTCCTTGGGGGCCTTCATCACCCTGCCCAGCAGAGGAAAGGCTGGAGGTTAGATAGGCAGCAATACACTGGTGCTCGATAAGGTTTCAGCTCTAGTGTTTTCCTAACAAAGGTAAGCATTGATGTACTTATATGTCCCCAGTCATTTAGGACATAGTTCCTGTACAGACGAAACAAGGAACTGTTGCATAGATGTAAAGTATTTTTTCCATTCATGAAATCCTTCACTTTTGATATTATTGCTAATGAATTTGTCAGGGTTTAGTCGTGGTTTGAGGAC